TATATATATAGTACAAGTATGGTCAGAAAAAACTAATAAATAAAATAAAATCTTTAAAAACAAGAGAGTCATGGTTCTGTCTTTAGTTTGTGCATTAGTGTTGTCATACCACTACTGTCCGTCAGGGGGTGCTGTCGCCACACATTCGTGAGTCAGAGCAGGTGCACAGTGATGGGTCGCTCGTTCGGCTCTGGCTCGAGTGTTTCCGTCACGGCTCGGCAGTGAGTCGTTGTGGATGTGGGAATGCGGTTACCAGAGGCTGCTGTGGGCATTGCTGGACACTCGGCGGAGATGTGCGCACGGGAAAGGGGACCCACAGCGGTTGGCTGCTGTTCAAGTTAGCTGACTGTCTCGTTGGGGGATGTGGGTGGGAGAGCGCCCGAAAAAGCAAGGTGTCGCTGCAGTCCCCCACCCCACCCCACCCCCATTTATTTATTTATTTTGCTGGGGATTTTCTTACCTTTGTGGGGAGGGGGGACGGAATGAGAGAAAAGCCAAGGAGGAAGAGGATTCCCCGGCAGCACCATGGAGCCACGCACTGCAGACAGTGTGAGTACTAACAGACACCCGGACAAGCCTCGGGGGACTGGGCTAGTCTCTCCTGGAATCACTCAACTTTTCCGCTACCTTATTATAATTTTAGTCGCGAAGTGTTTAGATAATTGGTGAGGGAAGAAAAGGGTATTTATTTATTTAATAATTTTAGTTATAATTGTTTAATTAACGGGTCGAACCAGTGTTCKGACTAATTTATGTGAGCTCGAGCACACCAATTAAGCGCACCTGCGGACGGCCGGAGAGAGGCCGGGCTGTTCGCTTGTAGAGCCGCGCCTGACGACTCATCAGCGGATTAATTTCTGAGGATTTTCTCCTGCCTTTTGTTGCCATGGCGGTTGCCATTGACGACCAGCGAGTCTAAAGTCGTAAACAGACGGACTGACGGTGAAAAACGGGCAGACCCACAGCAGCCACAAGTTCTATCAGATAGTTTTTCTAATGTCTGCTGATGGGTGTGCGCTTTTTTCCCTCTAYGCAGTGATAAATCCTGACCTTCCTGGGAGTGAGCACAAGGACAGACTGTTATATCTGTGCGACGTGGTTACCAAATGTAACACGACCTTTCTGGATCTCAGAACACAATATATCATTACAAAAACATAGTTTTTAAAATCTTCTTGTGTSCAGACGCAGGAGGGGTTTCCTAGGATTGATTTAACTGCGGCCAAGTGGCCAGATTATTGTGGATTAGCAGGCATTTAAAATAGTCACGTTATCCCACCAGACCTTAACGGAGTCTGCTACAACAACACTTTCAGGTTCACTMATTTGTAGCTGAAAAGATGCCATGCTGGGTGTAAGGTGTGTTGCTTTGTGCAAAATGGTCAGCAGATTTCTCACAAAGCAAAAAAATAAAATAAAATAAATAAGATTATTGGTCCAATGAAAAGAAGACATGAATGAACTTGAGGCTACTATTAGAAGTAACAAACTGTAAATATGTGAGAAAAGAGCATACTATGTGTACAATTTTTACAATGTATTTATAATGAAAGTATTTGAGGTTAAATATCATAATTTCAGTGCAAGACAGGAAATGCAACTAGAGAAATTGCATTTCCTGTGAAAATGTTAGTGTGAATGCTTCATGCTGAAAACTTTAGCTGAAAGCTGCGGAAATTGAGCAGAAAATAATAGCAAGATTGTTAATGTGAGCTCACTTTGAAAAGATGAAAGGAAAAAAAGCCTAACTTTGCAGAAAAACTGTAAAAAAAATAGCACAAATCTAGTTAAAAACAACAGAAAACAGCTAAAAACTCAAAGCTAAAATAGCTGAATAGAGCTGAAAACACCTGCAAGAAGCATAAATAGCAC